ACTGTCCTCCGTACAAGTCTGCTTATAGTATCAGGTTTGTAACTAATTTCTTGTAATGCTTGAAAAAACAACTAAGTATATATCATGCTGATTATGTGTTGTGTACTAAATAGCCATGTCTTTATATCCTATTTGCAGACTAGTAGTATGTGAAATTCATGTAGGTTTTCACTGAAATATGTGAAATGATGTCTGTGAATTGTGTGTCGAAACAGAAAAAATTCCTAAATAAAAGGCATCATAGCTTGACTGTGGGAATTATATCTGCAAAACATCTGTATTTCGTGCTGCCTTCATAGGGTTTAGTTATCTGCATAATAATATGTTAATATAGAGCTAGTGATCCGAAGAATATCTAGAGGATATTTGGTATTAATTACACATGGAGCCAAATGTTCCCCACCTCTTATCCTTCCATCTTTATCCTGCAACCAAATGCGAGATTAAAGTTCAGGTAAGACCCTAAATGTTTTTCATCTCTTATCTCAATTTTATCTTGGTTTTTGATTATGGACTATTATGATGATTAGGCTAACAAATTATCAGAAGGCTGTCCATACTTCATAATATAACTAAAGGGCTGAAGTAAAGTATCTTAATTTTTACATGAAACATTTTTCAGAGGCTGTGTACATACTGCATATGGCCAAGTGTGTAGATGGATAGCCAATTACTCGTGCCAAAAAATTATGGGAAAATTATCATGTAGTCCTATGTAGGGGATCTATTTCCCTTCTAATCCCAATTTATTTTTAATAGATCAATAGGTCCACAGTTTTTTAAGTTTTATACCCAGAGGTCCCGTTTTTTATTTTCGTATTTTTAAATGACTGTATTACCATTTGTTTTGAGATCTATATATACATGAAAAATCAAATTTTTGCTCCGTTTAAAAAAAGGAAATCAAATCTTCGTCTCCACGATCTCGATTTCTCTTCGTTATGGCAATCTCATTGTGCTGTGTGGTCGATCTCATTGTGCTGTGAGGTGGATCTGGTTGTGCGATTTGAATCTCTGTGTACAGGCGATATCTGCATACGTTGTCTCTCTCTCTGGTGATAGATATATGTATGTGTATGTATGTATCTGTCAATACATAAATATACATATATATGTATATATATATATATGTCTGTGTGTGTATGTGGTTTGTATTTGTCGATATATATGTATGTATATATAGATAAGCAAATTTGCGTGATATGTGGTTTGTGTTTGGCGAATTTTGTTTGTTTGATTTTGTTTTTGTTTGTCGTATAGTGTAATGTGTTTTGAAGTTGTATTTTGGAATTGTGAATTCTGATATGTTGTAAGTGTATAATTTTGCAATTTCGAATTGTAAATTGTGCACTGTTGGTATTGATATGTTGTAACTGTATAATTTTGCAGTTTGGAATCTGTGAACAATTGTTTGTTGGTTTGTGATTTTGTAGTATGAAGCGGTGTTTCATGTTAATGTGCAAATACAGTAATTGTTGTGTTGCTATTAAGATTAGTGAGGGATGTAGTTATGATGAAGTTGTTGAGAAAATATGTGCGAAGTTAAAGGAGTTGAGTGTTGGTAACTTTTGTTTGTTTTTCTCTGTTCCTGGATATTCTAATTGTATTGTTGGATGTGATGATGATTTGGGGAATATGCTGTCAATGGTAGGTGGTAGTGGTTGTCATGTTGTTGATGTTATTGTGGGGGATAAGAGTATTGTGGAGGTTAATGTTGGTAATTCTTGTAGGATTGATTCTGTAACTTGTGAGAGTTCTTTTGTGAATGATTGTGATGATGTTGGTGGTTTGTTGCGTAGTTTTTATCCAGAACCAGAGAGAGTTTTATTGTCTGCTAGTTGGAAGGGGATTATACATAGTGTTGGTCAAGAATTTGAAAGTGGAGTGCCGGGGTTCCGCATTGCATTGGCTAAGTATGCAGTTGAGTGTGGTTTTGCAGTGAATTATTTGAAGAACGATGCAACAAGAGTAACCGCTGAATGTATGATGAAGTCGTCTACGGGTTGTAAATGGTTTGTGCATGAAAGGGTGTTGATGGATTCTGGTGTTTTTTTTATAATGAAGTTGGATAATGTGCATACTTGGCGGGTTGTTGCTCGTAAATCTTATAGCAAAATGTTTGGTTCTAGACTTGTGTCTGATATTGTGCAAAACGATATTAGTGATAATCTGTTGACTCGTCCTATTGAAGTTAAAAAAAAGAACCAGAGAGAGTTTTGTTGTCTGCTAGTTGGAAGGGGATTATACATAGTGTTGGTCAAGAATTTGAAGGTGGAGTGTCGGGGTTCCGCATTGCATTGGCTAAGTATGCTGTTCAGTGTGGTTTTGCAGTGAATTATTTGAAGAATGATGCAACAAGAGTAACCGCTGAATGTATGATGAAGTCGTCTACGGGTTGTAAATGGTTTGTGCATGGAAGGGTGTTGATGGATTCTGGTGTTTTTTTTTATAATGAAGTTGGATAATGTGCATACTTGGCGGGTTGTTGCTCGTAGATCTTATAGCAAAATGGTTGGTTCTAGACTTGTGTCTGATATTGTGCAAAACGATATTAGTGATAATCTGTTGACTCGTCCTATTGAAGTTAAAAAAAAAGTTGAAGAAGCAATATGGTATAGATGTTTCTTATCGGGTTGCATGGTTAAGAGTTGATAAGGCAAGAGGTGGGTTGTTTGGTGATTTTGCAACTTCTTTTGACCAGCTTCGATGGTACCTTGAGACGGCTATGAGAACGAATCCGGGAAGTGTGTTTGAATTAGATGTGGATGAAAGTAGTGGGTGTTTTTGGAGGTTATTTGTGGCATTTCATGGATGTTTGTATGGCTTTCAATTTTGTTGTCCGTTGTTGTTTGTTGATGGTACATTTTTGAAGGGGCGTTACAAGGGGCATTTGCTTGCAGCAACATCAAAGGATGGTAATCAAGGTATGTATTATTTGCAGTTAGTATTGGTTTAGTTTGTCAGTGTGTTATTGTATTGTGAGTCTGCTAATTTTTGCAGTTTCATGTGGTTTTGTTTGCAGGTTTGTTTCCTTTGGCTTTTGCGATTGTTGACGCTGAAAATCAAGATAATTGGATGTGGTTCTTAAGTCAGTTGTTGAAGGCTGTTGGTTCAGGCCGGAGATTGACTTTTGTGTCGGACCGTCAACATGGATTGCTAGACGCTCTTTCAGTGGTTTTCCCCAATGCACATCATGCTTATTGCTTGAATCATTTGAAGAGAAATTTGATTGACAAATTGGTGGGACTTCGTACTAACTATAAGTTGTGTTTGATGAAAATATTAGTTAAATGTGCTTATGCGCCAACGGTTGCTTCTTTCCAACATTATATGGAGAAATTGAGGCGTATTGCTGGGAATGGTAGAGTTGATAGTATGTTGGATGGTTTGCAAAATGATAAGTGGGCCAATGCATTTTTTAGAGGGAAACGATATGGTGAGATGTCTTCTAATGCTGCCGAGTCTTACAATAATTGGATTGGTGGGGCCCGTGAGTTGCCTATTACTTGTATGATTGATATGATTAAGGTTCAAATCATGACTCAATTGTCGAATAAAAGAGCTGAATCTAGAAGATGGACTACGAAATTGTGTCCAGTTATGGAAAAGAAGTTAGTGGACTCTTTGGAGCTAGCTAAGTCTTGGGATGTGATTGTTGCTAGTGATAATGTGCTTGAGGTTCATTCTTCTATTTCTTTTTATGTTGATTTTGGTAGACAGACTTGTTCTTGCCATGAATGGCAATTGAATGGTTTTCCTTGTTGTCATGCTGTGCATGCTTTGCGTAGTAGTGGTAGAGATGCATATGGTTTCATTGATCCTTTTTTTCATGTAGGTTGTTTTAGAGAGTCATACAAGGAATCTGTTTATCCAGTGCCTTCAAGTGAGAGATTTGACTTTGATGGTGCCAGTAGTTCGGTTATCAAACCTCCTATAACGAAGAAGTAGCCCGGGCGGAACAAGAAGAAGATGATACCTTCTAGGGGTGAGAATGTGAAGCAAATCAAGTGTGGGAGGTGCTTGAAATATGGGAATCACAATAAGAAGACGTGCAAGGCTGCTATTTGAGGCCACAATCTATTCTTTTGGATTTGTACTTGAATTTGAGGAATTATGATAATAAAAAATGTGATACTTGGTATTATGGAAGTAATGAATAAAGTTGGTTGAATTGTTTTCTTTACTTATTGAAGTTGTTTTGTAACAGTCTGGTTTTGTTTTTTATTTTCATGGAATGCAGAGAAGGTTGTTGAAAATTTCTTATTGAAACAGTATAATATGGAAATGCAGTTCATATTTCATAGCGAGAAAACTGTATAATTTTGCAGTTTTAAGAATTATTAGAAACAACCTGATGAAACCGCATAATTTTGCAGTTTTAAAAATTATTAGAAACAAGCTGATGAAACTGCAAAATTTTGCAGTTTGAAGAATTATTAGAAACAACATTTACTGTATGAAAATATATGCAACCACAAACAAGTAGACAAACAATCAGAAGAAGAACCACAATAATAATAACAAGAAAAAGAGCAACAACAACATCAATCATTTTCACCATAACCATAATAACCAGAAAAAGATCATTCCCAAAAGTATATAAAGTACTTGTCACATGTTACAAAAGAAAAATAAAAATAAAAAATTTAAAAAAGGTACAAAGATATGTTCCCTTGAATATTTGTATTGTCAAGAAGTTTGTTCATTGTTTCTATGGTTTGGTATGTTTTGTCAACACTTGGTAGTGCTCGAGTTTCCAGGATCGGTTCTCATCATTGAGGAATTGATTGATGATTTGTGCTCGAAATTTGACCCACTCAATTGGACGAAGTTTTTTCTGCACAGGTTGCCAGTTGAGATATTGGTTGATAACATTGCAGACGGCGATTGCACAATCATTCCTGCAGTGTTTGAGATGAAGTTAATTAGTTAGGTGAAACTGCAAAATTTAACATATTGGAAGATTAGTTTATGGATTTTGTATCTTACGAGTGTGGGGTTTATTGTGGGCATTCCTCAATTGATGCAATTTCTGTCTCGCACTCTTGAGATGATAACATGTTTCCCTGTTTGCTGAGTAATGCTTTATTCCATCTCAGTTGATGTTGTTGCTACAAAATAGTTAGGCCCCGTTTGGGGACTTACTTTTTTAACCAATTAGCCAAAAAGTTACTAAATTAGCCAAAAAGCCAACAACTCATACCAAAAAGTCAAAGATTCTCTTTTCTCTCTACTTTTTGCACATCTTTTCGTAATTAGCCAAAAAGTCATCCCAAACATACAACTTTTTTTTACCTACCTTTTTAGCCAAATAGCCAAAAAGTTACTAAATTAGCATGTTCCCAAACGAGGCCTTAGTGGGTGTTTTTGTTAGTTATGGTGATGAGTTGAGATGTTTGTAAAGGAATGGAACTAAATATGAAATTTTATTTTAACTTACAATTTGCTTTGCAATTTCAAAGTGCTTGTTGTGGCAATCTTTTGCTGGTCTCAAAGAGTCATAGTGTCTCCATATTCCATCAGCATTGTCAAAGACCACAATTGTCCAATGGTTGTCGTGGTTGATTGGGAAATGGATATATCTGTTTTTCATTGCTTCTGGAAAATGGCTGTCCATCAGTTTTTCTCTCAGTGCTTGATCTTGGTTTTGTAGTGGAGTCTGTAAGTTATATATATGTTTGAAATATGTTATAAAACTATGTAGTAATACATGTTGAGAAAGTAGAAAATTTTGCAGTTGTAAGGTATGTTAAGTTTTGCTTACATTGATGAGTGTTGAGAAAACGTAAGATCTTCCTGCATATGGATTGCTTGCAAAGACTAGATCGTTTTTCTCAAATTCTTCAATGGTTGGTTGGAGTGCCAATTGCTTTTCTGAGAAGGCATCAATGACCTGAAATATGTTATATATGAGAATATGTTAGGTTTGTGGAATAGGTTATTGAATATGTACAGAAACTGTAAAATTGTGCAGTTGGAGACCTACATTCCCATATAAGGGTTCCCTGTTGGTCAATCTGCATATATCTGAAAAGTATACGCAGTTTTCATCTTCGCTGCCAGACCAGACACAAGCACTTGATTGTGTGTTGTTGATGAGTTGAATTTGGGCTTGGTCTTTTTTGGATAGGCTATGCCAAACCTTGTTTGTTTTACGGCATGAAATGGCGAGTGGCTTGTTTGGGATTGATTCTTCCTAGAAATCATCATCACTTTTCAATACTTGAAGTTTAGTCTTCTTTTGATTGGTATGCTCTTTTGGGTTTGTTTTAGCAGCAACTGCTTTCTCTTGGCCAATGTGTTCTTGTATCTTTTCTTTCTGCTGTTGTTTTGCTTCATGAGCACCCTCTTTTTTGTTGTCATTCTTCTTCTCTTTTTCTTCATCGGTACCCTGTGTTGGTTTGGGTACATCAGCAGCAGTTTGTGTCTTGTTTCTTGCATCTTCTTTGGGTTTGGTCATTGGTTGGTATTCAAAATCTGGGTCATGTGCTTGTTTTCTTGAACTTTGTTTGATTCTCTTGACCATGGATCTTTGTTGGGGACTGCCAGTTTTTTTGGTGGACATTTTTTTCAATTGATCTTCCTTTTTACGCAATTCAACCATGAATTTTTGTTCCATTTCTTGCATTTGTGCTCTCATGGATGATATGAGCTTGTCCCTGTCGTCCTCTTTGGTTGGTGTTTGTGGTTGGTCATGACCTATAAAAATGTTGGATTGTGTTTTGGTTAGTTTAATGAAATTTTGTAGTATGCTTTAATATTAGACAATAGTTTACCTTGTGCATGAAATATGTCAGATTTCTCTTGCAGTTCTTCTTGTTGGTTTGTCAGTTCTTGTTCATTGACTTCTTCTTGTTGGTTTGTTTGTTGTTCTTCTTGTTCTTGTTGTTGGTCTTCTTCTTCATCAAGGTCTTCTTGTTGATCACCTTTTGTTTGTTGTCTTTCTTCTGCTTTGTCATTGTCTTGTTGTTCATTAGGTTCTTCTTCTTTTTCTTGTTGTTGTTGTTGTTGTTCTTCTTCTTCAGTTTCAGTTTCTTCTTCTTCTTCACTTTCTTCTTCATCAGTTTTTTCTTCATCAGTCACTTGATTTTTTTCATCATTACTCTTTTCTTCTTGTTCATTACTTTCTGGTTCTTCTTGTGGTTTTTGCTTTCTTTTTTTTTTTTTTTTTGCTGAATAGTCTGTTGATGTGCTTTGATTGATATGCAATAACTGTATTTCTTGTTCAGTTGGGGTTAAAGCACTTTGGTTAACCTGCATTGGAACAATGTGGCATATATCAGTAATACTGTAAATTTGGTCAGTTTCATAAGATGAGTTGTACTGTGAGTAATGTGGGTTAAGTGTCGAAATATGTTTTTTGAAACTGAAAAATGTTACAGTTTCATAACATGAGTGATGTTAAAGAAGTGTGTGCTTTGAAACTGAAAATTTTCACAGTTTCATAATGTGATTTGTACTACAATGAATATGAAAGGAGTGTTGAATAGATTTGTGCTAGGATAGTATAGAAGAGTTTGAATACCTTTTCAAAGTGAGCGAGGCTGATGTGTTTCCACTTGGAGTACATTTTGCCAAGGTTCCATTTCATAAACCTTGGGAAGCCTTCTTTGTTGGATGGTCGGAGGAGTTTACTGTGCTCACAGTACCAGTACTGTAAAAAAAAAAAAAAGTTGAAATATGTTAGATAGTTAGAAATAGGTAGATGTCTGATATTTTTGTGGGAAGTAGTTGAGTAATGTGTTTACCAAGAGTAACATGATGCATCTAGTGACATGCCTTGGGTTGTTGCTTGCATTTGTCATTGAATTCATCAGTGTGTCTTTTATTGCCTCAACCCAATTGTACTTCTTGATGTTGTTGAGATTGTCAACATAGTTGAGGAAACTCCAACTGAGTGTATGGCCTGTTGTGGGCATGAGAAGTTTCAAGCACAAGTAAAGGGTGATTACCTTTGCAAGATCTTGACGATCATTGGTTGATTTTCCTTTTTTTGTTTGTTGAAACATTTTGGTCAAAGACTTGCCATCCAATCTCTTGACTGATTTGCATCTTCGTTTGTAGAATGAAAGCTCAAAATCCTTTGGTCTTGCATAGGATTTGGTGGTGATGCTGTCTTCTCCACAGTCGATACCAAAAATGAGCTTGACATCACTGTTTCTGAGTTTCATTTACTTTTTGCCAAGTACAAATGATCTTTTTCTTTTGTTGTAGAGTGTTGTCATTTCTGCTACAATGAAATTGTAGCATCTGCACCAAGAGGCCTTCAGTTATGTTGAGGAAAGAGCATTTATAAGGGGCCAAAAAGGGGTTTTTTGCAGCTCTGTCTGTTGGTCTTTTGTGAATTTGACCCCCTTCAACAGTTTGATTATCGTTCCGATGTTGGAACGATAATTAAATTGTTGGGCTCTCTTTGCAGGGACTGCTGCTTTTTTTTCTTTTGATGCCTTGGTTTTTGTTTTGGGAGTTGATTGGCTTTCTTGGAGCTTTCTTTTTTTGGTTGGAGGAGCTTCTTGGTTTTTTGTTGGCTTTCTTTTGTTTGTTTTTGTTGTGATTGGTGTTTGTTGGGTGGGTGGGGTCTGTGGTGTAGTTCTTGGGCTTTTTCTTGTAGGTGGTGTGGTTGTTTTGTGGATTTTTTGGTGGGGTCTGTTGGGTTTGGTTGTTTTTGGGTGTGGTGGTTTGGTTTTTTGTGGATGGGGAGATGGTGGTGGTATTTTAGTGGATACAGGAGATGGACTTTCAAAAGGGGAGATGGTTAAATCCCTGATTGGATTTGTGGGCATATGGGTTTGTTTCTTCCAATATCTTCCAACAACTATTTCTGAAAAAATAAAAGTGACAGCAGGGCATGAATAATATAGTGATAAAACTGTATAATTTTGCAGTTTTATATGAAGTTATATCTATTTGTTGTTAACAGTTACAAAATTGTATAATTCGACAGTTTGATTTGCATTTTATAATAAGTTACCTATTTGTTTTGAGTAGTGATTAAACTGTGTAATTTTGCAGTTTCATTTGCAGTTTAAATAAATTTAGATATGTTACTTGTAGAGTGATGAAATGAAACTGTATGATGTTGCAGTTTTTATAAACAGTATCAACAATAGGAACAACCCATTGTATTTTGTAAAAAGCAACAATAACAACAAGAAAATTAAAAATTCAAAAATAAGAATAAGAGAAGCCAATATTGAACAACAAGAATAAGAATAAGGTGTTGAATGTGTAAAAACAGGGATTTTTGTGTAAAAACAGTGTTTAGAATGTTGAAAAACAGGGGACTATATATAAAAGAGGGTTTATACATTTGGAAGTATGTAAAATGTGTATATAAGAAATATTAAAGAATGATGTACAAATGTGAAAAATAATGAATAGGTGAAGAGAGATGTTACTTTTTTTCCCCATTTTTGTGAATCGGAAGTCAGGAACTATGAAATCTCTTCAGAGTGGTGATGGTTCTTCGTGTTGTTGAGAGTCGCCGATTGGAGAATATGAACAGCTTGGTGTTGTGTTGAAGATGAACGGTTTGGTTTTGTGGTTAGGGTAGGGTTTCAGAGGGAATAGAGTCGAACGGAGGAGAGATAGAGGATTGAGAATGCGATTTCGAGCGGCAGAGATGTAACAGTGTACTGATCAGACTGAGATGATTGTGGGTGATGAAGATGAACGGTTACGTTTTCTGGTTAGGGTTAGAGTTTCAGAGGAGATGGAGTTGAACGGAAGAGAGATGGAGGACTGAGTAGTTGATTTCGAGCGGCGGAGACGTGACAGTGTATTGATCAGACTAAGATGATGGGGACGTGGGAGATGGTTGCGCGCGTGTAAATTGGATGATATATTGTGGGTATTTTCGTCTTATTGTTAATTTGAGGACTTAATGGAGTATTAAATTTGTTTTCTAAATGGGGTATGATATGTTGGGCTTGGACCTTTGGGTCAAACGCCCAAAAATTATTGGTGGATTATGGGCCTTGCGGGATTTACATATTGAGTAGAGGTCTAATTGTGTTCAAAAAAAAGTAGAGGTCTAATAATGATCTGGTCTGGCCTATTTTGCCTCAAGCCTAGCTTGGTCTTTTTACAGGTGGGCTCCTACCCAAGCCCAGCCCAAGACCTAGGCAAATGCTGGGGTTTTATCAAATTTTTAAAAAAAAAAAAATTTCCCTTTAAATTTTAGTGTAAACTACAATAACAAAGACTTACACATTCTAAAATTTACAAATAAAATGCAACAAATTGAGAATCAAATGCAATGAAGCGCATACCTGGGAGATTGTATACTTTGAGAATCATTTGTGCATAAAATGCTTTTGGAGTAATTATTTAGTATTCGAGAATATGTTTATTTAATTGTAAAATACTAAATGCTTATTTGGTACAAAAAATAAGAAACATTATGAACAAATCAAAAAAATTTATTAGATGGACACATGATTACATAGTACACGCCAAACTATATGATAATATCTAGATGCTTTTGATTTTGTAGAAACTTCATGTGAAATTTTAAAAATAAACCAACTTCCATGATTAAATTTGGGGAATTTTTTTTTTGAGACCCTTAAAATATGAATTATAAATTCCTTTACAATGATATAGATTATTTCATATTAGATATTGATTGTTTTAAAAATTAATCAAGACCCAATTCCCTTCTACACCATTAACAGTGAATATAGAAATTGTTTTTTGACGAGTACTAGCATTTTTGTTAGTTTAGGCTGTATATGCTCTAGACGCCATTTAAACTCATATTTGCGGTTCAAAATTATTGGTCTAATTAAGTCTCGTTTGAGAACAGGTTATTTTAGTAACTTTTTAATTTTTTAGCTAAAATATGAGATTAAAAAAATTAGTATATTTGGAATGATTTTTTAATTTTTTATGAAAAAATGTGCAAAAAGTAGAGAGAAAAGAAAATTTTTAACTTTTTAGTATAAGTTATAGACTTTTTAATTTTTTTAAGTAACTTTTTGACTTTTAAATAAAAACAGATAGATACCAAATAAGACCTAGTCTAAAATATGATTTTTTAAAAAAATTCTCTTAAATTTATGTTATGGACAAAAAATAAAACAAAGAGTTGTCCCCTTATCTAGCTACGTTGACTCGACACAAGAGGCCCACGTAATTATTGGTACTTTTAATCATCCATTATCTTCAACTTTTACAAACAAACGAAGAAGTGGAACAGAAAGAAAGTAAAGCTAACAAAAAACATTCACCAAGAACAAACACTAGTACTCTTACTCTCACTCTCCCTCTCACATAAACCAAGAAGTTCCTCCAAATAATCAGCACCCAAGTCCTCCAACACCACCACACTCTCAAACCTCAACTCATTTTCTTTCTCTTTCGTCTTCATCATCTTCATCTTCCTACTCACTCCTTTCCTCTTCATGGAATGCCTCTTCTTCAATGCCAACACCGGTGAACCACCTTCTTCGAACCCATAATTCATCTCTAGAAGTGACTCGTAAACCATCTCTGCCGGGAAGTTGAGCACCGCCATGGACCCCCTCATTGCAAATGCCGCTTGGTCATAGGCCAAAGCCGCGGCCTCAGCAGTGTCAAATGTCCCTAACCATACCCTCACCCCATTCCTCGTCGAGTCCCTTATTTCTGCTGCATATTTTCCCCAAGGCCGCCTACGAACACCTCTGTAGGCGGTCTCGGGTTGGGATTCTTCGCTCTCTTTTGAGCATACTTCTTCTTCTCGGAATCTATCTGCCTGTGATATAACTCCAAAGAGAAGCATCTCTTCGGAATCGTTTTCATTGAATGGTAGGGTTTGGTTATTGAAGCCAAGCATGTTATGTGACAAGGGATGTTCTTCTTGTGAAGTAAAGGAAGATTGGGAAAAGATTTGAGGAAATGGGTATTGGAAGAAAGAAGTATCCATGAATGGGTTTTTGAGAGTCTTAAGTTTTCTTTGCTCGGTAAGTTTGTTATTTGAAATGGTCTTTGGTCATATATATATATATGATAATATTATAAGGCTTTATATAGGCACACGAGGGGGTGTATTAAAAAAATGTTGATAACACTACGATAATTTGTACAATATAAAATATAAAAATATGATAAGGAGGGGTTGTGGGCACATACATGCATGAACATTTGCGGTCGAGTTAGTGCACGCGAGTCAAAGGACTTGTGGGCATGGCGGCCATGTAGATGATGACCGAAAATTATTCAATATTTTCAGAGTATTATATGTCGATATTTTTTAATTAATTATTATTTAATATGTTTTTTTAGATTTTTCAATCACTCGACATAATATAACACTTATTTACTTACTCATTTTCTCCACCAATTATAATGTTATGAAATATCACATATCTATATTCAGAGATTACCAAATAAGTACCCAATGATGACTCAGTGCGACGTAGGCTTTGATGATTTCATTTGTATCATTGTATCTTCCCTGTAGTAAAAATTGAGTTTGATAATGTGGGGGAAATTTTTGGGTGTGCAGCTTAATTACAAAAGTATACGAATTTTTATAAATTTATATAAGTGATATTATAAAAATGCGTAAGTTAAATATAAATTTATGTAAGTCGAGCATTTTCATATGATGATACCATATTATCATTAAGATATGTGGTACATTAATCAATAATAATATTATAAAGAGAGAAAATTTTAAAAATTATTATCTATTTAGTTTTTTTATTAATGAAAAATTGCAATTTACATTAAGTAAGTCATTTTTTATCTCTTAACTATTTAATAACGTAAGTTAGTATGTTTTATTTTTTACCATATGATTGATTTGAAATACTAAGTAAACAATATCACAAAATACTTTGAGACTATTGAATAATTATCTGTGAACTTTACTATACAGATATAACATTGATAAAAAATTATTGAATAGTTAACTGCAATATATACATAATAATTTAAATGATTATATAACGTTATGATGGTACGAGTTAGTGATAATGTGCTTTCACACTTGTATTGAATTTTTCATCTTATTTGGAATGTTTTTTTAATGGGGTAAATTTGGTGGGGGTTGATCCACTTGGCACCAATTGTCTACGTGGCATTCTATAGAGTTGATAATGCCTTTGTGACTGATAAAATGCACGAATGTTGTTGACTGATTTTATTATTATTATTATTTACATTTTTTATTTTATTTTATAATTTCAAAGACAAATGATCATCACCCTCTCCATCAACAATTTCGCGATGAAAAGAATTTTTTCTGAGACTGAATGGGGAAATTATTCAATACTTCTAGAGTATTACGTGATTATATTCCAAACCAATAATCAATTACTTAACTCTATGTTGTTCTCTTATCTCCAACATAAATTATGGGTTCTTACGTGTCTTCACCAATCAAAACCTTATAAAATACCACGTATCCATATTTCAGGAATATTGAATAATCACCCGACCCAATGTGATGTATGTAAGTATGCTATGTGATTATTAGGCTTTAAAGTAGATAGATGCTATGTTGAAAACAACAGTGATTTCCATTGCCTACAAACTACTTCTAAGGTTTTGTTTGGCAATTTCCTGTTTTAATCTAAAAGTGAAAAAGTCATTAAAAAAATTAAAAAGCCAATAACCTATGCCAAAAAGTCAAAGATTTGTTTTTCTCTCTATTTTTTGCACATCTTTTGTAAAAACCTAAAAAATATTCCAAACATATTAATTTTTTTACCTCATATTTTAACCAAAAAATTAAAAAATTACTAAAATAATTTGTTCCTAAACAAGGCCTTAATTGGGTGTTAAGTCAGGGTAAGAGTATAACATGGTCCGACTCCATAATATACATCCTAATATTAGAAGTGATTTGAAAAACTGATCTGACCCAAGATCAAGTTTATACTCTATATCCTAGTCCTTTTAAAAATAAAATAAAAAATGTCAAGGACGTTTATATGATCTGTATATTATTTAATATTTATATTTTAAAATTTAAAATATAATTTGTTTAATGGTTTGGATCACTCTAGCGACAAAAAATATAAAAATATAAAAAAAGTTAATTATTTTTTACTTTTTTTGTTTTTGTCATTTGTGAACTTGTTAATTTTTTTTTTTACTTTTCTACTCCGTCTAATTGAGTAAAATTCAAAAGTGTAAAGTCATTTAAAAAAAAATTAAAAAAATATCACTGAAGACAAAAAAAAAAAGAAAGGTAACAAATAAATTACTAAAAAAGCCAACTCCAAACACCCAAAAAAATAGATGTAGAACATTCATTGTCGGAATTTGTTTGGAAGAATGTTTTTGCAAAAAAATTTTAGGGTCTAAAATGAAGTATTATTTTTATTATTATAAGGGTTCTTCATTGACCAAGTAGATGATAAAAGAAGGATGGATTACTTATCACAACTAGTTTAAAAAATAAGCTTTAAGATCTTTATATTTTTATTTTTTGTCAATAAGTGAAAATATTATTTCTAAAAATGTAAAAATTCTAATAATACATACATGCAAACCTAACATCAGAATATCGGAATTGACTGTTTTTGAAGGGGGGGGGTGTTGGGTTGAATTGGTGTTGGAGGAATGAAAAAAATGAATTTTTGCATTTAACAATGATTAAATTTCAAACTAAATTTCAAACCTTCCAGTTAAGAGCGTATAGGTCCTGTTTGGTAGGGCTTATTTTTAACTTATTTCAGCTTTTAGCTTAATTTAAGTTATTTTGATGTGTTTGGTTCAGCTTAATAATACAGCTTATAGCTTTTTCTAAGTCAAAAATCAACTAATTCTTTGAGTGGGGAGGAGAAGCTTAATTTATAAGTCAAAAATCAGCTTATGTTCACAGTTAAAAGCTATAAGCTGTTAAGTTATAAGTTATAATCACTTCTCCACAACTCTACCAAACGGGACTATAGTACTATCCAACTGATCTAGTCCCAAATTGGCAATCACTTTCTTATTACAATTAACACAAGTTACAATATTCCTATCACAAAGTGTAGCCAACATCTTTTGATAAGCATTGAAAAATCCAACATTATGGTTATTAAATTATTAAATTTTTTTTACTGATTATAGTTGTTATCAAAAAAAAAAAAAAAAAAAAAAAAAAAAAATTATAGTTGTTATCAAAAAAAAAAAAAAAGACCAAGAAACAAAACTTAAATAGATTAAGAGGGCCCATTACATTTCAGCTCAATAGGAATGGTGCATGAACAAATGTATCTGTATATCTCACTATTAATAAAGGGAATGTATCATTCCATGCTTGCAACAAAGTTAACTTTTGTTTATTATTATTATTTTTTATCATCAACGCTTTGTGACAATTTATTTTTTTAAATGCCATTATTTAAGATATTTTTGGCATGGTGGAAAAGGTGCTATTAGTTAGGTTAATGGGCCCAAATTTTTTTTTAAAAAAAAAGGAAAAATAATTATTTTATCTTACGTTACGCGAGTCATAAAATTACATAGCTATTATTGTAAATTATAAGAATTTTCATATGGGTAATAATTTACAAACAAAAAAATTCATATAAAAGTCACGTATAAAATGATGTGAATTTTTATACTCATTGAAAAATGATATTTATACATAATCTTCAAATACATAATTTAATACAATAACCAACTGCTCACTTTCTTCCAATCTTTGGTCTTGTGGTAACTTTTTTTCTTTTTCTTTTTTTGGATAAGAAGGTCAGCTCAGCTGGTACATTAACTGAATAGAAGGTTAGATTAGTGAACAGAAAAACCAAATTGAGGAGATGTTTCACATGGAAATCAAAAAACCAAGTTGAAAATAAACTAACATTTTTTTTTTTCTGTGGGTGGGGGGGTGTGTGGTGTTCTAACAGGGCTTCTCAATTAAGCAAATATTGGAGGCTGTTAGGCAAAACAAAGCAGCCAAAATTAGGTTGCTTTTTAGCTTAATTAGCCCTCGTGCCCACTTAACGTTCAAACTACTAATCACTCCATTTAAGCAATTCTCCGGACATATTACAATTTCTACATCTCGTTAGGTGTATATGTTGGTTATTTTATACACACACTTGGGTTAAAAAGAAAATGGAAGTTCAAATAACACACTTTCCCTAAAATGGCATAATTTACAAGTGCCATGGCTTTGATGTTCAATATATAAGAGTAGTTGGTAAATCATTTGAGACTAAACAATAAAATTTAAATTCATCATTTTTATTGTTAAGTAAACCAACCGTGCTACGTACTTTAGTTGGCCAATTCTCTCAATTGAATGTTTATTTTCTATTAGAATTTTTCTCTAGTTGTTTATTTCTTATTTATTATGAAATTATTTTTTGTATATTATTGATGCTGTGGTTGTTGGTATTGAGCTTGAAGGTATGTGTTATCCAACTTTTTTACATGATTGATTGTGTTAAAGTATACAATACAATACAATACACACTGTAAAGCACACACCAGCACACACCCACTAGCATCACATGTTCGGATCACACTGTAAAGCACACACCAGCACACACCCACTAGCACCACATGTTCGGATCACACTGTAAAGCACACACCAGCACACACCCACTAGCACACACCAGCACACAAGAAAGCTTTAGCAATAGTTTAATGACAAATCATACAGATATGTCCAAAAAGATAAACAAATATCCCTAAAAGAAGAGGTACAAACACATTATTTTCCATTTCTTCCCTCAATAAGACCATATGTAATCATGGATTTGGGGCAGCTCACTAAACCAGAACCTGTTTAGGGGCCTTATAATTGGATTATGCGGACCATGAACACAGTCAACGGCAGCGATAGAGCCGTAGCAAAAATATATGTATTCCCTTGCACAACCTGCAAGGGTAGGCTCAAAAAAACTAGCTCTGTAGTGGACACCATAACAAACAAAATATTTATAGATTGCTATCAAGGCATTCAGCACCTGAGACCAGCTGCAATCCGCCCAGAAAAATAGTCCCTGCAGCCATTCTTCATGTCAATGATCTGCCAACAGTGCTTCAGGTTACTACCAACATTCTTTACAATTGTACCACCCATCTTCAATCTTGGAGAATTAGTAGAACCTGTCCAAAATTGTAAATGGAGTGAGTACAACCAAGCAGAAACCCAGCCTATGTATAGGATGCAAGAAACTAACTAAAACATAATGAACGGGCTAACTTCACTCAACCCACAATATATTGGCTCACAACACTCGAACAATAATTTACAACACACAATATTAGAACTAATATCCTCAACCCACAATACAGATCACATGAGCAATATATCCATAAAATGACCTGGTAAAAATACAGGACTATCAAAGTTGCCGAGTAATTTCATAATCACAACGTGTGCAGAAAATTTACAAGACTATTATAGAGGAATACAAGAAAAGGTGTGGGGACAGGGAGACAGCTCACGAAAACTGATACATCAGACTGACCAAATATACCACAAGATTAACTACATACATTACTCTACATGTAAGATGCTCGTGCAATTAACAATACCTGTGAGGCAACAGGTTGCACAAGTAATCTAATGAAGCCTCAGCTCGGAGTAGCTCAACACCATCCTCATTCAATTCATCAATGTTCCCATTTGCACTTGACAATGATTGGGACAACATTGTAGACGCAATAGACTTTATCATCTTTCGACCAATAAAGGCCCCCACTCTTACAGATCCATAGTCTGCACCGCCAATGCTGGAAAAAAAAAATATCAAAATTGTCATTGAAGTTGAGGAAACATTTTTCCAATTTTCCTTTTTGTGGTGTAGGAACAGGGGGTTGGCAGAGAGGAGTGCATGATTTTCTTGCACGGCATGGGGAAGGGAATATGCTTCAGTATGAAGAATTTTATGATGTTCCAAGTTTTTATATGGGCTCATTTTAAGTGATCAATGCCCCCCCCTGAAGCAAACTATAGAGTTATGTTCTAAACAAAATTCCTTTATGTCGTTAAAATAAAACTAATGCATTATGAGACTTCAAGATCTTGCAAAACCGGAAGATGCGAACAAAAATGAAAAACAGGAATATATACGCATGTGAATTATGTTGTGTGTTCAGGGTTGATCTATGCCAGCCAGGTGTTTGTAACAAGAGGTCCATGTAAAAGAACAAGAATAGAGAGAGTTCCCCAATAATAAACTAGCAAAAAAGGATTAATATGATCCGTGTAAGAACACAATTGGTGCCTTAAATAGCACAATTTAGGTAAGCTCTAGTTTGAATAATCATCCATAAAAAAATTAAGCATCATTAATTACTAAACGGCCCATCACTAACTCACAAAGAAATATTAAAACAAAGCATGAAAGACCTTGTACCTGTGTCTTATTCCTGAATCAATTCCCCAAAACCGTATATGACTAGGAATAGCCACAAGCCCTATTACCTCAGCAGGCTGCATAATTACAAGCACGGTTTTTCTCAAAATACCCAAATAGTGCTAATTCTACAAAAGAATATGTACACCATACCCAAGAATTAACTAGAAAATATAAATTATCAGATAATATCCATAGAAATTTTTTTCTCCTAAAGGTGAAAGGTGCATTGAAGAAAAAAAGCTTGGTAAGTTGTTTTTTTAATAAAAATCACTTTCGAAAAGTGGCTGTGTTTTTTCCATCTCATAATGACAACGATCTACTATTGACAGTAAACACTAGAGTGAAAGGCTCCCCATAATTCACAACTTTAATCATGAATAAGTTCTGTTCCCTTACCTAGGCTCTCCAGCATGCCCTCGACTGTCTCGGGATTAGCACTTATTGTAGATCCATGAGATAGTTGGCGGCTGTAAAAATGATATGTCCCCAAGGTCAGCCTTTTGGGGTCTAACAAAGATATGCATACAGACAATGAGTTAACCAAAACAGATTTTGGCCGTGAATCCTCCAGAGCATGACAAAAGAGTCTTCCTATAAAACTGTGAACATAAAACAAATAATTACTTCTCTAAATAATAGGAAACAAGTAGATGATATAATATTGTGAACTTCCCACGAGATCAGAATGAAAACTAGTGCTACCTTGGGCTGGTGATTTTAGCAGCTAGGCCTGGAGGAGCATATCAAGTTATAGCACACAGTGTTTCTGCTGTGTTGGCATGCACTTCTGGACAATCCTGCGATAAGTGTTTAATAAACATTTAAGTGAAATATATACACAGTTGCAAAACAACCTGGAAGACAACTTCATTAAATCCAAGTTCAAGCATTTAGAAGCATGGATAGTCAGCCACAAAGACAATTCACATTGTAGTCGAAGAATTTACAAAACATGATGATTGAATCGTGGAAGAATAGACGATAACAAGTAAAATCACAAAACTAATGTTAATCACGTGATTCAAAATATTCACAATCATCGAGATTGGTACCTAATTTGTACACAATGCGTGATAGGTGAGCTTATCATTGGAGATGCTAAATATGTAGAGGCACTAACTGAAGTAACAAATACACAGAAATGAACTTATACTAATTCCAAAATTTTCCTGCTAAGATAGAAAGAAGCTAATGTAGTAGAAGATCCTACAAATCTACAGAATTATGTGATTAGTACCCTTTCCATTTGCATTTGGTTTGACATCTTTTTACCTACCAGACTTCCAAAACAAAGGTTTTAGCCATGACACTGTATACTCCACTCGTCAAGTTTTTCTGTCTGTTTTTTCTATCTTTTATCGTACTGCTCTTCTACCACCAAACTAAATTATGTCATAAGCATGCTTATCATACATTTTGAAATGACTTCCATCTTTTTCTAAAAGAAAACAAAGAACATTTAGCTTTTATTTATTTATTTATTTTATCAAAAAGGAGGACATTTAGCTCTTCTATGGTTGAATTTTCACAAATCACCATGAACATACCCAAGACTACATTTCGTCCACAAATGACTGAGCTTACACCTTTTCCTTACACTTTGCTCCATGTGTTATTTTCCTATCTTACAGTTAATATTTAACTAAAAAGGTAGTTGTGAATCCAAAGTTGTGAATCCAAAGATCCATGGATTTACAAAATGTTGTGTTTTGAAGACCTAAACCCTCATCGTCAAACATGACAGCTTCCAAAATCAAGATATGACTAAAGTATCCATTGAGCTCAAGGAACAAAATTTCGTTACGTTACCATCAAAATAGTTGAAATATTTCCATTTCCCAAGATGTATAGACCTTAAATATGTTTAATTATTTAATTATTGAGCTCATATGAACATTTATATTGGCTTTAGTTTCTATTTCCAAATAATTCCATGTATTCCCTTTTTTATTTTTTCCTTGTGTTAAAACATTTCCGAAACATTTCAGTTTCCAAGCGAACTTAAACAGCATATCGAAACAAAATTTTGATATAAGAGAATGCATTAGGAAAGGGGATAATCAACTACGTTCAAGATAAACTAAAACAAAGACTCTTAATCATTACCTCTTATCAACAAGGTCAGTTTTGTTCCCAACAATGACAATTATAACGTCACTGCCCCGTTCAGTGCATATGAGGATGTACTTTAATAAATCCCAGTATCAAACTATATTTGTTGTCAACAATTAGAATACAAGATCACCATCGCCAACAAATTGAAATTTGTTTTGTCAACTACTAAAATTAGCAACTAAACAATGGAGAATCATGATAAATTTTACTTCCACCTCAGATAATGGTAACCGTAAGGTACTCACATAGATGTCTTCTTGAAGATGTATGGCGTTTTCTCGTATTCAATCTCAATATAAGAAGTGATACAATTGCAGATAACGTAACTGCACCTGCAATCGTCCCAAGTGCAATGCCAATCAGTGCTACCTTGCTAATACCAGATTTTGAAGAGGAGAGGTCCGCTGCAACAGAAACTAAAATTATGAGAAAAACCCCCTAAAAGTTATGCAACATCCATCCATTCCTATTTGTATATGAAATGAAAGTAGGCAAACTTGACTGTGTATTTGTTGATTAGAATGGCATTGACGTATTTGTAGCTGCCTTTTAGGTCAATGTTATCCCGCTGATTGATCATCCAATATTGTGATCCAAGCATCATAAACAATAGTTTCAGCGGGGTGCATTGATTATTCCTAACTACTAGTCATTGCAATTGGAGCAGTGAGGAGTGGAGATCTAGACAAGAGAAGGCCAACAACAGTGTTAGAGCCACTTGAAAGCAGAATTCGAACCTAGGAGCTTGAAGGTGAAAAAGTAAAGTCTAACACATTCAGGGTTGGGTCGTAAGTCATTTGGAGTCATTTTATTAAATTTTTGATCTCATGGATTTTGACAAGCAGGGTGGTCTTTACTTTATTAGTACCATATTTGCGTAGATGATTTATGCATGATTGAGATATTGGAATTGGTATATTGAATTAATCTAAATAATAAACTTGGTAATTTTTTATTTGGTAATTAGTTACAACAATTTGGCCCATTCATCTCCTCTTTACGCACAAACATGTCCACTTCTGCAATTTCATAACCTATTCTTACCACCACGCCAGGGCAAAACAACACTAATATATACATCTAGGTTACCCATATATTCAGATAGAGGCATAAAGCAGAAAAAACAATTAGACAACCTTCTCCCAGAAACAGAACGCAAAGACCATAACTAATTATATCTATATCGAGAAAGTCCAAAGCAATAACTGCCAGATAAGGTTTATGAGACAAACCATCTTCATAAGGGTCCAACAGAATGAAGTTGAGAACCTCATAAGGTCCAAAAATTTTAAGATCACGAATCTCCCATCTTGTGAACAAGCCCCGAATACGTAGAACCTCACTACTATTGAATAAATGATGGGTGTTGTCAATGTATACAGGAAAAATCTTCAAGTACATTCTCAATCGATGACTTGTTTCCCACATAGGTAAAAAACTCTAGTAAAAAATGACATCACAATACTACATTCTTTTAAAAAAAATCACATATTCTAAAATGACTTTATTATTTAGATTCATCGCAAGAGATCCGTGACAGAGCATTATAATCAGTAGCTTGTTTTAATACATAACAAGAGCATGTTGATCTATCATGTTGCTAACTAGTTTGGTACCTTGAAAAACTATACACACAAAAAGAACATAATGGCTATGCATCAGTTGAGAGCTAGACAGGAGATAGGTCACAAATTCAATTTTGTTATTTGATTCATTAGCATCAGCATGCTCTGGAAAACCATAAATTCAAATTAGAATTCCAGAATTTGATCCACAAACAATGAATACAAGCAGACAATGAAATTCAAATCTAGGTTGCAACACTAGAGAAATTAATTCTAAATGTAGAAAAAAATCATTTCAGATTCAAACTCTCTGGATCATAATTCGGATTTGAGTTACAGTAAAATTCACTGATAAATTACTGAACAAAACAGAATCCAGATTCAGCATACTATGACTTATTCAAAGCAATGATCTAATTCTGAATTTTTTTTTTTTTTTTTTGAGAAAACCGTAAGTTCAAATCATAATTCCAGAATTCGATCCACAAAAATGAAGATATGTAGATAGTGAAATTTATATATATATATCTGTAAATGAAAATCAAAAACTGAACTGTACCAGTAGAAACCAGTCCTGCTCGGTTATCTCCGATTCCTTCACTTTCTGTACAACAACCTGATCGATCGAGAAGATTGTAGTGAGATTAATGGATAAGCAACAAGTTAACGAAAAAGGCGTGAAGATGAACAAGAAGTGAATGCTTCGAAGAGATTTCTCTGATTTCACAAAGAAACTGAGTCAAGAGAGAGAGAGCAATTCAGAGCACACTTGATTTCTCGGATCATTACAGAGAAAATTGAATCGATGAAGATGTGTTTAGGCTTACCGATTATGAAATCTTCAACAGTGGTGGACTTGAGAAAGTTGAATCGATCGACAGATTCGAGAGAGAGATTCGAGCGAGAGAGGCAGTGAGATTCGAGAGAGAGTCGAGCGAGTGCGAGAGACAGATTTTGAGAGGGAGAGAAAGAGAGAGCCCAGATTTGGGAAATAAGAAAAAAAAGGGGGGGATTGAGAAGGAGAGAAAGAGAGTCAAGTTTTACCCATTTTTATTTATTTTTATTTTTGTAAGAACATGATTGGGTCAGGAAAATGAGATGTTTGATTCTAAAAATGATTTTTTGCGACCGTTAAATAATCAGTCGCAAAAAAATAGACGCAAAAAATCCTAATTCTAGTAGTGCTCGTAGTATATTATTTTTTAATTTCATAATCTAATATAATTTTTATGATATTTATAATTTATTTTTAAGTTTAAAAAATAATGATTTTGATCTGACTATATAGTGTGAATATAGTGTGAAACTAATAGTAATGGCCAATGGGATTTAAAAGCGATTTGAAATCAGGAAGCACCCATTTCTTATTGAAATATATTTTCAGTACTAAAGTATACATACATTTGAATCAATGATTATATGTGATTTATCTCTCTCTAACACACACACACGATTTACCAAATCACCACAAAAAGCAAGTAGTTTTATGTTCTACTACTACTACTACTACTGCTCTTGTTTTGAAAAGGTAGTCAACATGATGTGCTCTTGAAATGAGATTGGTTGAGTACTGAAAATGGTCAAATTAATATTATACCAGTCAGCAGTGGAGGTATGGGGCCTGTCTCCTTCAGAGCATGGTCAATCACACAATTATATTGTTGGTGAATCCAACTTCCAGAAGATTATCAAAGTCTTCAAAAATTCAAACCTCATTAAAGTTTGTGGTCAAAAGTTACAATTTGGATTATTAAAATGACGGGGGGATTCTTTGGAACAGTCCCTTACAATTTGGGTCATATTTGACAAGTGGAAGGTTTAGAAGAACACTCCCTGTTGGTTTCGCTGAAAATGGAAATTGATTTTCATGGGTACTTTTGTTTTGTCCAAAATATAACAAGAAGATTTGAAGTTTAGTTTGTACATGTGAATGTGAGCATGGAGAATTAGCAGGTTGGTAGAACATAAACTAATGAAAAAACTAATTAGCACTTAGCAAGAAAATTGGAAATTGAAAACTCAAAATTAAAAAATTTACTAAGAATAATATAATTTTCTTGGGTGGTGGTTGGGGTGGTTTGGGGGAGTGCAAAGAAGGGAGAGATCTATCGAATTTGGGAGTGGCAATGGAATTTCGGTGGTTGGTGGAGGATAAATAAGCACGGCAGTTGGGGTTGGAGAAAGGTTATGATTAGGTATATAGGGGAGAAATGGTGGAGGGACGACGATCAAGATTGGAGACTTAGTGAGGATAAGGAATGATGAGGTTTAGGTAAGGAAGGTTAGCCAGAGAGATTTGGATTTTAGTATGACTTGAACTTTTATAGTTATCCTATAACATGTTAAATGATTTCATATGATCATTAACTAAATATTTATTTCAAACTTTAAAGTTGGGAAGATGGTTTTGCATCCAAATTAGGTAAACATAATTTTTAAAAGTTAAATTGGGAATTATTTAATAATTGTGTTATTATTGACATGGGCTAGCTATATGTTTGTCATTATGTGTTGGTAGAATCTTTTTAGATAATTGAATGTCTGATTTCGACGTAATTGTTAAGATATTCATAAAGAAAGAAAGAAAATATATATATATATATATAATTCATAAAAATCGAAAACAAATATATAAAATATAAAAGATCAATAGAATTTTCCAATTTTTTCATTGCTTTAATCATCATAAATTCTTTTCTTTAGTTTGTTTGTTTGTTTTTTTTTTTTTTAATATGTTTCATTTTTTTAAAATTTTTTTATATATCAATGTAATAAGGGTAGAAAAAAATAGAGTTAGAAATAAGTATATTCATAAATGGACAGAAGTAATACTATAAAAGATAAGTGGAAAGAGAATAAATTGAGATAATTTGATCATACACAACAGAAGTAGTAAAGAGATGTGATGAATTAAATGGCTATTGATAGAGTCAAATGGAGAAAAATAATTTATGTAACTAATCTAACTTTAAGGCTTGCTTGATTTGATTTGATTTATCAATGCAATAAGAGTAAATCAACAAATGGAAAATTCCATCAATGGCATTTTCCCGCCTGGCCTTCAGTTGCTATAGCAGCCAACGTCTTACTTTGATGGGCATTTCTATATGGGCCCATTTTGTCGAGGCTCCATCAGCCCAATAAAGTTTCTTCACCCGAAGCCCAAAGTATTGGCATAGGCCCATATCACAATGTTGATAAATTTTGTGAAAAAAATATAATAAATTAAAAATACACTACTGTGGTTTTCTTAAAATTTAAATTGTTCTATATGATTTTAAAAATTACATCTCACTTTTTTAAGTTTTTATTTGCATTACAGATGAACCCTTTTATTAATAAATTACCAAATTAATAGTTTTTAATGATGTTAGAAATATATTTAAATTAACAATTCAGATAATTTTACTACTGTATAGAAAAATAGTTAGAATTTTTTTTTATTAATTCTGTTAAAAAAATATCATTACAAGGGGTATTTGCAATTTTTAAAATTATAGAGAGTAATTTGTATTTTAAATAAACTTTGGGGGTGTATTTGTAATTTATCTATATAAAAATTATGAATTTACAAATTTTAAGAAACTAAATTTTTTGATCAGGTAGGCAGTGTTATTGTACCCTCAAATTTTGTACAATTAAGGCCTAGTTTGGGGTACCCAAAAAAATCTAAAAAGTCAAAAAGTTATTAATATTCACAAAAAAATAAAAAAAATAAAATAAAAATTTACACACAATTTATTAATTACAACTCACAGTCTGAACGTTGCACAAGCTGTTGTTGAGTTTTGTGAAAAAATTACGCAGGCGGGGTGTACAAATAACACAGTGTTGTTCGGCCTGTGGGGGCCATCACAGGTCCCGTTTTGATAATCTGAACTGTTGAATGTGTAAAATGCGTCGAGTACTATATGTCTGTAAAATATCATGTTGATCGAATATCGCTAATTACATGATTAAATCAGTTTTGTATTAAAAAAATGGATGGTGTTATAGTCAATAGTTGAAAAAAAACTAATCTAAACAGATAGCTATCGATATCCGATTAATGTAATTTTTTTTACAACCATATATTACTTGGCAAGTTCTACACATTGAACAGTTTAGATTATCAAAACGGGAGCCGTGATGGCCCCCACGGGCCGAACAACACTGTCCAATGCAATGTCCGAAAAGTAGGCAGCAATTTCTTAGCATCAATTCAGTCTACCTAGACGGTACGCCGTACTGCCTACTGTCCTTATCTTCTCCTACACACTAATTTATACAATTTTTTAATACACATTTTTTCGTAAAAAGTTAACGCAAACAACTATATTTTTTTCCCTCAACTTCTTAGTCAAAAAAATCGAAAAAAATACACTTATTTAAGACACCCCAAACAACCCTTAAATCTTCGTCATATAAAAATGGAAGATTCTATTTTTACATAAAAATCTCTCTAATAAGAATTAATTTTTATGAGTTATTACATAAAGACGTATAAAAAAAATAAACATAATAAATTGACATTTTGTATTAATTATTTTTAATTTCTAACTAATTTTGTCAATTCCCAAATAAGCCCTAAGATCACCTCAGGAAAAATTACTCTAGAACATCCAAATGCACTCAATTATGTAAGACTTAATTTGCTTGTCATGTCACGGTAAGTGGATTGTGAAACTAGAATTACGAGTTTATAGCATTTCTCTTAAAAAAAAAAAAAATTAAAATTTCGAAAATGTTAACCCAATATATGCATTGTACTTGTTCATTCGGACAACACAAATAATCTCTGCTAATCAATATCAACCGCAAAATTCAAAATTGCAAACGTGATCCATAAATTCTTGCTAAATACTATCCATAAATCCAACATTAAATCAAATCCATCATCCAACACAAGAACTCAAACAAAGCATCCTTAAAAAGTCATACACATCCATCAAAAGTACCAAAAAAATAAATAATTAAATAAAAACACAATCATCCATTATGAAATCAAAGCATGTGTGGTCTGGTCTATCCATCAAGAAATCTGAGCATTTGAGAGTGTATTTATTGGTTTTTTGGCTTTCAAAGGTTATTTTTGTAATTGCGAGCGTGCCAGTAAGGATCAATCAGTCCTTACAGAAAATTAATTGCCAACGAATTATCAGACGATTATGTTTTAGTTCTTTCAGCCTCAATGAAGAGTACTTTTACTGGTGGCTTGATTTAGGAGAATTAAGCAAGATAACAATTTAATGAAGAACAATTGAAGCATTTCATTAAAATGAAAAACTTACAATGATCCAAACTCAGCCTCGTAGAGGTTTACAACAACAATCTACTACTTGAAATTACTCCTATAAACGAAGTGCAGTGCAGGAATTTAAAATACATGAATGTAAAGAACAGAAAATGTAAGACTGAGAATGTAAAACTGGGAATGTAAAACGGGGAAAAAATAAGTGAAATATGACTGGTTTTTTGGATCTGAGTTCGGGGGCTTTTTCTGGGCCTTCTCTGCTATTTATACTTCTCGAGGATGACCATCGAACTGTATTTCCAACCGTCGAACTGCTCCTCCATGATCGCTGATCATGTTGCCTTATGTAAAAATTTATATATTATTGATTGATATTGATATCTTATATTACAAATCAGAGTGGCTCATTATATAGGAGAGGGTTTGGGTAGTAGGTGAGGAGTAGGTGAGGGTAAATTGGTGGTAGGTGTAGTAGGTGTGGTAGTAGGTGGTGGTAGGTGTAGGTAAATTCTAACAGCCCCCCGCAAACTCAAGGAGGATAGGAACTAACCAACTTGAGTTTGGAGAGAGGAACAAAACAAGAAAATACATAAAAATAAAAGAGGATAGGAGACACGGTATGGTCGTGTCAGACCGATGTAGCAGACAGTTTATGGGGTCATGTCGGACCGTTGTAGCAGACAGTTTATGGGGTCATGTCGGACCGTTGTAGCAGACACTGTGTGGTCGTGTCAGACCGATGTAGAA